GATTTATTTTTCCTGATGCATTGTATTACTTCCTGTTTATCTTTTGTTCTGATGTTCTTGTATTTGTATTGGGATAAGATATTGTTTTGATTTCACAATCACATTTTAGACCAAAGTTTATTTTGAATACCTGTGCATTGACCAAACATTGTAGTTCTAAAAAATAAACTATTAAAAATGTAAATTTTAATTGCAGCTTTTTCTGTTATATTCAATTTTATATTCCTAAGTAATAACTTTACTTCTGCCATTAATTCACTTGCTCTTTCATATAAATTCATTCATTCATTCTTAAACAGAATAACCGTTCATGTTAACACAATACCGTAAGCAGCTTTTTAGGGGGCTCATTAAACAATAAATAAATAAAAATATATTTTAAAAAATACCTATAATTTTTTCAATGCTTAATCACAGCATCAAGTAAAGTAACACAAATCCAAGTCTTGTGTAAAGTTTAAAAATCGTTAAATATCAACCAGTTAATATAAGAAGCCAATTCGTAATTTGAACTATGCCTTGATACGGGCATGCACTAAAATTGACTTATGCACCATACTATAGATGTCAGAAAACTTGAGCAATGTCATTTAGAATTAGACTACAATAAATGCACCTATCAAAAAGAAAAATGTTATAAAGCATTGTCCTTACTATCATATTTTATTTAACAAAAAACTTGTATGACCATATATAGTGATGATGTGCCTATATATGGTGATGATGTGATGTCATCATGACCATATCTAGGCATGTCATGTTTTTTTCAAATAGAATTACACTCTCATTTCATGTTGTATTCTCCATCATTTATCCATCCATTCTCGAACCCTATACTTTTTCTTCGAGATGCCCACACCAAGGGCAGCAGATCTGAGCGTAGTGGCTATTCGTAGCATGCTTTTTGGCATAATTTGGATCCCCATAGCATGTAGCATTAATGCTATGCATAATTTCATGAAAACCTGGCACAATGTAGCATAATTTAGAATTTATGTAAATTTCATTACATGTGGAAAAATAATTGCAAAAAAAAAGTCTGGGAAAGCCATTTCCGAGCATCTAGAGTTGCCCAGATTGAATTGCTTGAATTCAGCTCAACGACTTCTATTCCACTGAAAAATGTTCGCTTCCCTGTTCTAAAATCACTCAATGGATGTTTAATTTATATTGTGTAGTTTCAGTTTACAGTACAGTAGGCCTATACATATTGGCAGTCTCAGGCAATCATACAAACTCACAGTATTCTCTACACAATGACTAATGTACAATCCCGTTCCCGGTTATTCATGTTTCTAAAATTTAACTGTAATTCAGAAAGATACAAGATACATTCATTCCTGATGATGATCTAATAAAAGATCTCTATCTGTTATAGATTCTTTCTCTTTGGTTATAATTAGAATTTATGTAAATTTCATTACATGTGGAAAAATAATTGCAATAAAAGTCTGGGAAAGCCATTTCCGAGCATCTAGAGTTGCCCAGATTTTGCTTCGTTTATGGCCTATTTAATTGGGCATTTCATGAGTCTCTGATAAAGTATATTGGCAACAATAGACATATCATCGACCTACTTGCAGTGAAGTAAATCTAAAACGTTATTCAAAAAGATGAACATATGTTATAGATTCTTTCTCTTTGGCTATAGTTAAACCATAAACAAACTTTAAAATATCAAATAAAATTATGTTTGTCATACGAAGCTTACGCAAATACTGTACCTGAATGAAGAAAGAGCTTTGATGAAAATACGAGGCAGTTCATGGCTTGTTTTTGTATGGATTCATGGTGTCTATTTATTTATCCCGACGTGCCCATATACAGAGTAGATCGCCATACAGTATGCCACATATATTTTTTAAATGCAAAACTTGTAAACTATGCTCGTTTTACTACAGATTTTTTAATTTGTAACTTTGAATGTTTCATCTATAAGCAAATTTTTATATTGTCAGCGGCATCTGCTTTTTGTGAAGGGGTCCCACTCGATGATTTTGGGGTGTTCCTGTCTCGTTAGTGCTTGTTCCTTGCTGTTTGTATTCTTGTAAATTTTAATGTTTTTGAGACAAATAAATGAAATGGAAAATGAAAAGTAATTTAATTTCACGAAAGATGTGACACAGTTTGTCTCTTTCAGTCCAATTAACCGATTGCAATGTACTTGTACCGCATAGTTACCAACCTGAGGGATTTGAAATGCGTGACTATACACCAGTTGACTGGGGGTGGGGGTTATCTATTCTGTTTATATACGGTATTATGCATATACCACTAAATGTATTTACTGTACCACCAGTGACCGTGCTGTAGGCCTACAGTGACCGTACTGTACTGTACAGTCAGGGCCGTTGGAAGCGCACCGGCCGCACCAGCTATGGCACGGACCACTTTTTCTCAATTCCATTACTTTCTGAAATAAATATATATTAATGATAATTATGAATTATATAAATGTACGCATCGCTTTTTCAATCATGGTACAATGGACCTGAGATAGAGGGTCCAGTATCTTGCCCACTTCCACTTTTAATCTTGTATCTGTCTGATCATGGGGTTGGAATAGGGATAGTTGCTTTGCAGCACATTTTCAAAATTTACAGGTATGAATTTATACACCAAATTTACCCCTTGGGGGTGGGGGGATTGCCAGATGAGATTTTTGGGCATCCACAATTTATACTTTTAGACCACATATTAGGGAATGGCAATCGCAACTTGATTGGATTTAAAGATTAGTAGTCTCACGACCTCGTCGTGGCGTCAGACGAAAGATGGTGGGGGATGTCCAGGTTTGTAAAGGGGTGTGGTGCTCAACAAGATGAAAAGCAACGATAAATAGATTAAATCCAAACATTTTTGTTGATATATACATTACTACAAGAACAAACAACTTTTTGTTCAGGGCTTTCTAGTCCCTGGAGGTCAATCTGAGGATCGCTTGCTTTCTGAAAGTATTAGGCCTACTAGGCCTATTATAAGACTAAAAATATCATAGTGACCTAAATTAGACTCTACCAAATCAAAACTGCTGAGGGGGCTTTCATCCCTGCACCCTGACCGGGAGAATTTTTTTGGTTTGATTCCAGATTGAACTCACTTCAATTTAATCTGCATTAGTTTCTCCATCACTCTCAAGTGACATGTCAACACCTACATCAACATCATTACCGTTCATCATCATCGTCATCGCCATCGACATCATCATCGTCATCATTATTGTCATCGTAGTCATTATCACCTTCATCATAACCGTCATTGTTATCATCATCCCCTCATCATAATTATGATTATCATTAGTTCACATTTTTTTCTGGGCATCAAGTTAAACAAGGTTTAAAGATGTATTGTCTCTTGAAAATGACAAAAAATCATAAAAATAATTCTGAAATTAACTTGTTCATTTTTGCAGTAGCATACATATTTTCTAACTTGAGCAAAGAAATTATTGAAATTTAAAAATGTGTACCCTGATTTTTAAACTGGATAATTATAATAAAAATAATAAAGCACTTCCATTGACTGGAAGTTTTTCTATAATTTTCTTTGTAAATGATGGGTAAACTTTTTTTAAATACACTAATGTTTATGTTCAGGTTGATAATTTTTATGTTACTAAAAAATGGGCAAGTTAATTTCAAAAATGATTCAGTGGCATTGTGCCCCTATCCACTCACTAACTGGATCACCCTAATGTTAGTACTCTATTATTTATTTATTACCAGGGTAGATCTCTCCATGGAAGTATACGTGCATGGTCTGTCTGCATGAATATACCGAAGGTTGACTAAAATTAATGTGTAATCGGTATAAGGCCTACCAGAAGCAAACACAGCACTTAACTAATTATTTTCTTTTTTTACAATTCTAATGATAAATAACTTATTATTGTTCCAGGCTGAACTTTGCAAGAAAATGGAATTAAAATTGTACGAGCAGTATGCTCATAACATGTAGGCTGTTGGTCCATTTGTGTGGCTAATAGTATCATGTGTTTTATTTATTGCATATTGTGTACCGTATATTTCATAGCTGAATACCCTCCACATCGTGTAAATACAATTACAGTATGTTATAGTCATTTTTGGTTTATGCATTATATATTCATTCATGTTTCTTGCTCTTCTGGAGGAATAAGCAACTCAATTTATCTACTTATGGCAGTGATAAGAAATTAAATTTTTAACAATATTATTTTCTACAGCTATACCAGCTGCTATTCATGGCATCCAGAGGTTCCATATTTCCAACATAGACTGTCATCCATGCTAACTTTTATATTGTGGCTGCCCCTTGAGGGGAAGGGATAGCGGCTCTATGTTGCCAGCATCTATTTCCGGACATTCATAGGCGCCAAACAAGTTGTTTACCAACCATGGTGGGGCTACAGTTGATATGATAATTATGCTCTCAGACCTTAACTAACTTCAAAATCCTGTAGCTGTTGATAGAGATAGCGGGTCTCCACTCTTCATTTACTACCAAATTTGTCAAGAGCTCATACCACCCCACCCCGCACCACCCCCTCACTGCAAAATGCTTCCGACGGCTATGACAGTAGGCCTACCAATCACTATGAATTCTCATTAATAATCAATACCATCACCACTTCCTTCTGTTTTTTTGTTTATTTTTTTTTTCAATTTACTGAGGAAACACAGGGCGGAAACGAAATTAGCAAAACCACAATTAAACGATGTTTGGAAAGAGGAAGATACGTCAATCACTAAATTAAAAAAATATATATAAAGGAAATCCAAAAATTCATTTATTAAGGGCGAAAAGAAAAATTATCAAAGGAACAGGGCATTCACTACTCATTCCCACTTTGCCACACCAAAGATATGTGCCTACATTTCAAAACGGATCTACATTGACCCATATTTATTGTATGCTTATTGTAAAAGATATTGTGATGACTGTAAAAAATGACTCATTAAAATATGCAACGTCGTTATTTGGATACGATTGATCATGTATTTTTGGCAGGTTTGGCATTCCATAGCAGAAATCGTGTTGTCCATCGACGATCGGATTAGACAAAATGGCGGATTACAAAAGAGATAGACGAAGCTATGATAGTGGAAGTTCAAGTCATCATAGACATAGGAGGCATCATGACGATGGAAGAGATAAGCATAATAGTAGAAAAGGAAGGCATCACGATGGAGACTGGATTTGTTCTGAGTAGGAATATTATAATTAGTCTACCAGTCCTTAACGGACAGGCTGCAGGAAATATGCGAGAGGGCCTGGTGTGGTGGCTGGTGGCCTGACCCTAGGCTTAGGCCCTACTCAAACCCTAGGCCTAGGTTAGGCTAGCTATCGTAGGCTCTAGCATTAGGCATACTAGCCTAGACCCAGCAGGCATCGCGGAATCGCCACAATAACTAGTCATAGACGCCCAACAAGGCCTCCAGACTATAGGCCTAGGCTATAGCAGCTTAACTAACCAAAGACTAGGCTAAGTAGAAGTAGAAAGAAGCCTACCCAGGCCTAGGCCTAGTACCTTGATATACCTTGAGCTTGAAGCTAAAGCATTAATGCTTATTTGCCCCGCTGTCTGAGTCTCTTTCATACGGTTTAAACTTCTAGTGGTGATTTAGCCAGTGTTGTTCAAGCCTTGATTTAAATTGATTAATTGTTTGTGAATCCACAGCTTCAACTGACAAGCTATTCCAATCATTAATTACTCATGCACTAAAACTTTGTTCTCCCCACTTAGTTTTAACTATCGGTTTCTTTAATTTTAGTGATTGTCCCTTAGTAAATGCAATTGAATTTAATTTACAATAATACAAGTAAAACATGCTTTGCACCTTTTTAATTGCGCGGATAAAAGCTAAAAATGCAGCTCAAATTTGCCCGGGAAAATTTGAAAATTATTTTTTATGATTTTGGTCATTTTGAATTTGAATTTTGTATTTTAATTGTATTGTTTATAACTTCATTGCATTGAATAATTTATGGAATTTGTTGTATTCCCAGAATCATTATATTATCACCAGATCCCATTTTCTTGTTTATAAAGGTGTGGCAACGATAATTTTGCTAGAAGAAGCCAGTGCAACAAGTGTGGACAAGGTATGGAAAGCAAAATTAATCTCACTTTACCACTATAAATTTCTGTGCTTTCTTTTCCCATATTTTCAAAATTTAAAATATGTACCCTCAATTTTTGTGTTGTCATCACTTCTAACTATAGTACTGTAGTTTCTTTTTGTTCATATCGCATGTAGTTCTGAATGAGTTGTTTCTGTCATTTGTAGTTAAGTTTGTTTCACTTGAAATACAAAATAAGCCTTGGGGATGAACACCTTGGTAAATGTGTTAATTGTAAAAGAAAAGGAAGATTTTATTTTATTATAATAATAATAATTATTATTAAAATTATTTTTAATTATTATCAACAATCTCTTGTAGACAAGGTTAATGTGAAGTTCAAATCTGGGGGTATAGAGATTGGGAAGCAACTAGCAGAGAAGAGTAAGGGACTCTTTGCAGCAGATGACTGGCAGTGTAAGATGTAAGTATGATGATGTCATCAAGTACCGTTACCTTCGCAAACACCTCATCTTCCAACATAATGCTTTTCTCTATTTTGGATTGGATTTGATTTATTCGGTGTAAACACCAAGGATAACCCACGAAAGTCTGAAAAAGACTTATTTCCAGTGGGGTCCTTCTGGTGGTGATTGGTCAGTACACTGGGAGACAATCCCCTACTCTTTTCCAAAAAGTGTACAGCATTGTTTAATATGCACATGGACCACATTGCACATGGGACCAACGACTTAAAGGTCTCATCTGCAAGACGGTGCACTGTTGTAACTTGCATTTCAGCCCTCTAGCTGAAACACAAGAAGAGCAACGATGGGAATTGAACCAAGGACCAAGAGATCTCCAACGTTCAGCACACACTCAGTGGCTACCACCAGATTAGCTGACTGAGCTAAGCTGCTCTCTCTTTTATGCCATTATCTGTTTCTGTGCAGAAAAGTCATTATCATTCTCTGTGTAATTACAGAATACCTTAAGAACAAAATGTTTCCTAATGAGACAATCCAATACCACTTAGGCTCAGCTTAGTCAGTGGAGAATCTGAATGGCTTGGGTCGAATCCTAATGGGGACATACGTTCTTCTCAAATATTATGTATGTATTTATTAAGCAGAATCACAAGTATTGTTTATCATTCTTTTATTTGATTTACTTAATTTGAACATTTACATACAACAGCTGTACAATTGAAATATAAAACGGAATTGACAATGTTAGCTAAATATAATAAAATCCATTAAGTACATAAAACATGGATGATGGTAGTACTTGTTGTATTAACATGTTGAATTTGTGCAGCTGAGTGGAATAGAATAAATTAGTTTTTGAGATGCTTGCCCTCTAATAGCATGGTCCTGTGTTCAATTCCTATGACAGCTGGACTAAACTCCACTCCCTACGCCTCTTACTCTTAGTCTTAAGGAGATTTTGTTTACAAAGCATTGTCTATTCTGAAATTGGCGAGTTACTTGCTATTGGATGCGAATGAAGTTTTAAAAAAACTGAAATTGGCGAGTTACTTGCTGTTGAATGCGAATGAAATAAAATGAAAAAGCCCTGTATGCCTATCGATAAAACAAGTCTTTACAACAATTATTCCATGAGAATTGTTCATCTCTGTATACATTATAAAGGCCAAAGGTTACACAGAGTGAACTTAATTTTATTGGAGTCTTTCGAATTAATACATTGCACCATTAATTCAAGACCCTTCTAATTACAGCACCCTCTAATTTTGAGGCCACTTTTTGAATGTCCCAACTGGCAATCTTCAGTCTTCACACAAAGCCAGTTTGAGGTTATATATTAAGATAAGATAAGATAACTTTATTATTCCACTATAGAGGGAAACTCTTTGCTCTTTGTTACAGAGATAATATATGTATGTGTGTGTGTGTGTGTGTGTGTGCGTGTGTGCGTGCGTGCGTGCGTGCGTGCGTGCGTGCGTGCGTGCATTCGTTCGTTCGTTTTTACCTTTCTTTGATGATGATGATTATTTAGGTGTGGCAATGTGAACTGGTCAAGACGTAATGAATGTAATGTATGCAAGTCTCCCAAGGTTGGATGTGTAGAATCAAGAACAGGTTAATAAACAATTTGAAATTTACTCATATTGCCTATTAAAAATAAGTTATACCAAATGAGGAAAAGGACATACATTTTTTGTTTAATTTCTGAGAAATTTGTAATAGATTGGTCAATTAATATTATAAATTATGCATATATAATGGAGTATAATGTATACATGCTGAGCAAGTATTAACATTTTGGTTTATTGTTTGAATTAAGGGTTGTTTTAATTATTAGTGAATTTGAAGCTGTAATTTATTTGAATAATTATTTTTTATAATGATCCTGAAAACTATTCCACTGAAATATTTCTTTTGTTAGGACATTCTGTATTGAACAATGCATCCTGTCAAAGCAGATGATCATTTGGGGGCTATATAACTGCGTCTCTTTATGAGGCTAGGGAGTAGCGATCTAATTATTTCGGACACTCAGTCTTCTATAACCAAGTTCCTTAGGCTTGGGGAGTAGTGTGTGTGTCATTTGGGACAAAATTTCCTACAAGAACACTTGTACCTGTACTTACGAGACACATGCTTGCCAATGGCTGTCATTGTGTTTTTCCACGCCACAGTTCCATAGTGTAGTTACACCTCTACTTACCAGTTCTAAACTAACGCTAGATCTTATATTTTGATTTGTTTTGACTAGTTATTAGTTACTTACGGAGCTTCCTTAAATTGTAATTTTTTTTCTTTAATTTATGCAGGCTATGGTGGTGGATTCAACGAACGTGAAAATGTTGAGTACAATGACAGAGACGATTCTGATGGTGAATTTGACGAGGTAATACTTCAGTTTTTCTATGGTGTTAACAGTTCCACAAATGTTTCAGTTCAATACTTTTGAACAACCACATATTAGTGGTAAGAGTTCCACAAACGTTTAGGTTGTGCCTACAATACCATTGAACAACCACATATTAGTGGATGTGTTTCAGCAATTATATACATTGCAACATCGATGCTAAGCCGAGCACCCACTGTGCCTGAGGTGATTCTATGGGGAATGCAACGCAGTGACGCACGCGTAACAGATCGTTTTTTTTTGTGACAATCCATTGAGGCTGCCATCAACATTCACTAGACTGCGTCCTATTGTCTGCACTCACAGGGACCGTAGTTGGATTCCTCGGCCGACGGTCATACGACCGTCCTATGACGCAGTGAGAGTCCGGCTTAACACGTTGCAATGATTCTATGTATCACAATTGTGCTAACATGGTTTGCAAAGGTTTTATAAAATGACAACAGTTTGGTTTCTACAGCAAGCAATATGTTTAGCAGAGTAGAGAATGCAAGTTGGTTCATGGTAAAGAACAATAAATGATGGTCTTAAAAACGATAGAGCCTTGTCAAGCCGGTGGGCAGCCCTTCTTCAATTTCAAATCTTCAATTTTATCAGTTTTATTGTGTATAAAATGTATGCAAAGGACTAAAATGTGAAAAATCTAATTTAGTACTTTTATATGCATTCCTTCTCTGTTTGGTTATTTTAGTTTGGACGTAAAAAGAAGAAGTTCCGTGGACAAACAAAAGAAGATCCAAGGGTTAACAAGAAAGAAAATGTGAAAGAAGGGAGTAGTGATGCTGATGAGGAGAAGGATGAGGAGAACAACAAATCAGATGCTTACAAGTTAAATTCAGATGTAAGTAAACTTAACTAAATAATTTGTTTTTCTCTAAATGATGTTTAATCTAGCATTCATATATGCTCCTGAGTTTTTTTCTGACTTTCTGTCGTCTATCCAAACTGACCACCCTCTAACCGGCCCACAAAGCTGCCTACCTTCCTGAGGCCAGTCAACCTGCCTGCCTGCCTTCCTTCCAGGGTGCTAAACTTCCTGCGCTCCTACCTGTACCAGCCAGCCAAAGTGCCTGCCTTCCTGTCGGCCAGCCAACCTGCCTGCCTTCCTACCGGCCAGCCAACCTGCCTGCCTTCCTGTCGGCCAGCCAGCCTGCCTTCCTTCCTGTCGGCCAGCCAGCCATCCTGCCTTCCTACTGACCACCCAACCATCCTGCCTTCCTACCGGCCGGCAAACTTGCCTGTTGGCTGGCTGAGATTTCTAGCATTATCAAATAATTTCATCTGGTTCCATAAGTATAGTAGAAATATAAGATTTTAAAAAAAAATTGTAGCATGTTAGTCTCTCTGGAAATGTATTAAATTTGTATTTCATCCAATACCTTGCATTATATTTTGCTTTCATATCAGTTTAACACAGTGAATATAGTCGAACTCCGTAATTGTATTGGATTTTTTTTATCAGGAAGAAGAAGATGATGATGATGATGACGGTAATGATCTTTCTGCATATGACTTAGGAGACAGCGGGGATGAAGATGAAGCAAGCAGCAGGAAGAAAGAAAGCAATTCAACATCTTATCCAAATGAGGAGTTCTCCAAGTAAGAGTAATTCAAGTGATTGTTCTATTTTTAAATACTGTAATCCTACAAACAAGGTTTGTGTTTTTTATATGATAAAATGTCCAGTGGATGTGGTTTGAAGCAGTGGTAATGGTTTGGTTTTCCAACCTCAAGGTTGGGGTTTCAATCCTTGGCTGTGCATTTCGCTTGTGTCCTAGAGCAAGGCACATTATCTACATTGCTTCAGTCTACCCAGCTGTATCAGTGGGTACGAGCAATTTGCTGGAAGTAACTTGCAGTGAACTACAGCAGTATCCCAACCAGGGGGAGCATCACGCTCTTATCTGCTTCACGCTACTTGAAACTGGGATAAACTCGGGCCCATATGAACCATGTGGCTCGGCATGGATGTATTTGCTAAAATGTCCAGTTAAGAATCAATATTGATATTAAATTTGATGATAATAATTTGACTACATTCTTAGATCATCTGACGAGAGAAAAGAGGATTCGTCTGATCGTGGTGACCAGCAGAAGAAAAGGCCAAGAAGTCGGTCAAGATCCAGTGAGAGGGAGATAAAGAAATTTGCAGATTCTTGATATCAAGAAAGGTTTTGGTAAAGCATGGCTAGGCTACACAGAGTTATAATTCATGCATTCAGTGTTTACCAAAAATAACTTTTGTTCCATGCTTGCCAGCCTGTTGTAGATGATGAGTTTTGTAATGATAAAAAATAATAGTAATAATTATAACAACAATAATAAAAAAAAATATATAAATAATAATAATAATAATAATATTGATAATGTGGAAACAAAGATACCGTCAGAATAAAAAATAAAAGTTAATAAATATATTATAAAAATTAGAATAATTACACAAATGATAATCAAAAAATGCAAAAAAATGATAATTATATAGATATTATTTAAAATGTTACATAGTAAATAACAATGAAATGATGATTCTAAGAATTTTAATAAGTTTGACAAAAATTATAAATGTGCAATGTGTATTTATTGTAAAATAAAGTGTAATTAAATTAAATTCGTTCAATTAAAGGTGGCAGCCTAATGATGCTATCTCTATCACAAACATGTTCTGTGATGCGTAGTTGGGGTATCCCGACTTACTGTATACCAATAACCTACTAAATTGCGAGGTGCATAGCAACAGAGTCAGTAGACAGTCAGTCCAACGCTACGTCGCCATTTAAATTCCATAATTCTCTTGGTGTAGCTAACATTTATGAATATTGAATACAGATACAGATTGACATTTGAACATTTTATTTCCATTTGTGATTCAAACATTGTTGAATAGTCTGCAATTAATAACATTACTGACTGTCCTGGGCAGGGCTAATAAAATAGTAAAATATAATAATAATAATAATAATAATATTTATTCGCTAAGTATACAGAATGAAATAAAAGGATTTGCCCTTATAAGAATAGGGGGAGCGAAAGCCCAAACATGATTTACTCCCTATCCTTCATAATGAAACACTACAAAAACAATAAGAAAAATAAATTTAAAAAAATAAAATGCCTTACAAAATTATTGTTCAAATAGGAAATTTTAGCAGAGTTTTGTACAAAAGGAGGTAGTTCCTCCCAGGGCCTTGGAAAGGACACAAAACCGAGTTTGAGGCAAATATTGCTTTTGGCTTTCCAGGGAATAAATCTGCCTTCACAATGCTCATTCTTACAACTAATTCTGTTTTTAGAACATTTTTGCTCCAATTTTTGTCCCTTTTGAAATTTTAGCAACCATGTACCTGATTCATGGTACATGATTCACTACCATTATGGCTTTAGCATCCATGTACCTTATGGTAATCCATGGTTGTCACCTCCATTATGGTTTTGGCAACCATATACTGTACCTGACGCATGGTTGTCACCACCATTAAAGGTTTTAGCCACCATGTACCTTATGGTAGACTATGGTTGTCACTACCAATATGACTTTAGCTTCCGTGTACCTTATAATAGTCTGTGATTGTTACTACCATTATGGTTTTGGCAACATGTAGTGTACCTGATCCATGGTTATTATCATTATGGTTTTAAACCTGGTTTTAATGGTAGTCATGTGTTGTTTTTGCAACCTAGCATTGGCTATCCCTCTATTGGTGTAACAAACCTTTGGTTCTCACTACTGCCATTACAATGTTATTCTTAACCTTTTCTTATTTTCTTCTCTTTTCAGACCACTGGTATAGCCACAATAAAGACGGCTCCACCTTATATTATTAGTAAGTACATTAAACTAAAGTGCTAATCGCAAAGAAGTCAATTAAGCCAATTTTCTTTCTGTCTAAATTAGATTTAATTTTGATTTTTAATGTTTGCTTATGTGTAGATAATTTTCTTGTGATCATAGCAATGGAAGTATACAAACAGTTTCAAGCATAATTCATGTAATAATATGAATTCATGTAATGATACACATTAAAGATTTACAGGAAGTGATAAGTATGCTAGATTCTTTATAATAACTACTATGTATGAATCAAGGACTTCCTATGACTACAATAATTTTATTCACTGAATAACAAGTAATAATATTAACTTATCAAAGTCAACATAGGAGTGTACAAATGAAACTAGTTTAGCTGTCAATGATTATAGCTGAATGAATTTAAATGCAACAACTTCAAATATTTTACAAGTAAATGCTACTGGTTGACTGATTAATTTTTCGATTGATTTGGTTGATCGTTAGATGAGATGATTGATAGGTTACTTCATTTTGTGATTGATTGATTCATTCATTGATGCATGTAATAGTTGATTGAATAATTTTTTAATTATATTTCGATTAATTGATTTATTCATTGATTAGTGGTTGATTGAATGATTGATCAATTCTTTCCTTTATTGATTAATTGGCGGACTGATTTTTTAAACGATTTATCAAAAGATTGATTGATTGATATGCATGTTATTGATTGATTACATGATGGATGAGTTTATTGAGCAAAGGTTGATTGATGGGAATCCAGTGTTGTTTTTCCAAAGTGGCTGTCTTACAACCGGTTGAATTTTTGGTTGACTCAAATTTTACATCTGTAGAATTCAACATTTGACCTGTGTACACATAAAATAACAGGACATTCTGTGTATATACACATACAATAATAGATTGTTCTGAGAATGTGATTTTAATTAAATTTCATATGACAGATGCTGTAAGCATGCATGCTAATGGCTCATTATTAATATTAATTGTTTATTAGTTCCATTCATATGTTTTTAATTGTATTCAATAATTATTGCGTCCAGTGTTAGTCTCTGGCGATGTATCATAAACGATTATTCATGTTATGAATGCTGTGGCACTGAGCCAATCAATATTAACTACCACTAATTAATTTCCCATATTTATCCATCTATGCCTGTCTAAAATGTAAACATCCTGAAATAACCCACCATGATTAGCTGTTATGTAGCATTTGTATGTGTCCCAACCCTCAAAATGTAATTAGAGAATTTGACAAGATGCAGTGTTAGTGTCACTTTAATCAAATGAATATGACATGGTGTAGAGTAGTAAAAGGGTCGATTTTAATTAATTTTATTTCCATTAGCTTGTCACTTTAATCGACTGTAAAATTATTATAAACAGATATAATAATATTGTATTATTCATTTCAAAAATTTGTTTCAGATTTTACAATCACTCTTTATGTGTTTGTGGTTATAGTTATACATGTATAGTTATACAGACTTCAATAAACAACAAATGGATTAGCATAAACCGAACAATTTAGTCTTTTGTTGTTACTTCTTTAAAAGTGTAATACAAATTCTTAAATTTATTATATATACACAGCTGATTCAAGAGAAGGGAACTGGCCACAGGTACAGAGGGGTGGATTCTGATCATTGAGGGTTTAAATGTCAACAGACGACGATTAAGCGAGCAGATAATCTTATCAATTCTTTCATTACCACACCTTTCACACTTAATTGCATATTCATATATAATTATATATGCAGTATTTAAAAAAAAAATGTACATTTTATTGCATATGTATTTTAACATGCGTTTCAATTCAATGACTTGTTTATCTACTCCAGCCATCAATATATGATATCTACATCAACATTATACAATAAAAAATACATACAATGTAGAAAACAGTAACAACTGTATTTAAAGATTACCGCCTCTTAAAACTAATATAAAGGTTTAAAATGTAAACAAAATATAATGTTAGGAGTGATGTTTTGCCCTACCTGACGTGTTATCCTAGTCTAGTGGTTAAGACATCAGGCTAGATACCTGGAGGTTGTGGGATCGACTTTCCACCTGAATCACTTGCAAATTTTTTTTCGCTAGTATTTGGGGACGTACGATAACACGTCGGGTATACCAAAACATGACTCCTATGATATTTCCTGACGCAAATTCATATCTTTATTAACTATAATGTTGCTTTTAACTAATTAAAAACATTTTGTTCTTCACCAATTAATGATCATTTCAATGATGTTCCTAAAATTTTTGCATATTGGTTATTAAATTTCTAGAAAACTTAATAACAGACTTAAAAAGTACCACTGACACTAGTTACATTATGTTTCTCTTCTGCTTTGGGTATGTATAAAAGTCGGAGATTCTGAAGTGCAATCAAAAGTTCTGCTAAATTCTTGATGATTGTTCTTGTTGATAAAATATCGATACTGTTGGGACATGTGTCAAGTGTGAAATACAAGAGTATGCTGTACTTGCCTCTTGTGTATGAAGACCTACATGAATAATGTATCTAAATAACATGTTCCCTATCAAAGAATACTTTTGCCAAGTTCATTCCCAGCAAACATGATAAATGAATCATAAAGTATTGTTTTTTTTTGCAAGTATTTGGGAAAGTACTGAGCATGCAGTACTTATGACACATCAGGTAGGGCAAACATCATTTCGTATTATTTCTCCTGGCGCAAAACGCTATCGGAATAAATCATAATATGCATACCATTAGTAATATGTTGCTTATACAAGTATTGTAATGCCATATAATGTTATTACAAGGATATACAGTTCGCCTTCCTATTTGAGACCCCCTCTCTGATTCCAAAACCCCTCTATCTAAATTCAAGACCACTTTTTCACACTACTCTACCAACTAGCAAGTCTGTTAATATAAAGCCAACTATAATAACTACAACCATGCTACAACTAGTCTCAGAGAAAGCCAAGCCCCGCCCCTCGGATGCTGTTGCTATGGTTCCACAAAAACGATCGCGCAAACCGTAAAACGTACGCAAGTTACACGTGTGGGGACACGTATGTTTATGGGACAAGCGCGTAATGTTAGTGTCCAGTTCTTAAGTTTGATTGACACTATGGAAAAGTCCATTGCAGACCAAGCCCCTAAACCATATTTCAGGTCCCAACGATCTAATTGGAATATTCCTACGAACGAACTGTATTAATACATTAGGCATTTCCAACTTACAATGCAATATGTAAAGCTATTGTATGATATGCAATAATAAGGTGATAAACGTATCTATTGCTTGGTACCTGTTACGTAGAGAGTGCAGTACTGACAAAACGGTTGCAATTTTAATGTAATACATTTATATCTAGAATTTCGACTGTTATATAACGTTCCTGTTGAGTAGTTCTAATAGAATAGTGTCTTGCGCCCTCCCTGCCGCCGTTTTATGTTTTTTGACCTACAATTTTGAGAATATTCGTTTCCTCGAAATCAGATTGAATAGACATATACATATATTTATAGATAAGTATTCGTTAGAACTACATTCATTATTTCATGTGAAAATAAGGTTAAAGTCATGCCAAGGGCTTTTCTTGTGCGATTTGCAAACAACTGTGTGTCACTAACTCGCTAAAAGAGCTCAAACTTACGCTTTGTGGTAATTAAACGCAACTAACGCTTGTATATTATGTCTACACATGTATCTAGTGCCAGTGCCTCGCATTGCGCTATTGGCACTCTACGTTATTTTAACTCGTTTTTACATTGTATTAAACATCTAGGTAAGATTTACAATTAGTCTTGAAATGGGTTGTTACAATTCACACATCGACATAAATTTCGGACGTCATACCTTTGAGATATTATACATCTTGGTCATACTAACCACGATACAAATCAGTATGCTCACCTTGTGCATGGCACGCGCTGCATCTCAGCCAATCCTGAATCGACGTCGACGTTACTGCAATTGATGGTGAATGCGTCAACACGCGAGATTCATTTAATGTCGGCATCATCAGATAGAATTAATTTTCTTTTTAAGTTTTATTTTCTCACCTTAAATGTCTTGTGCAAACGAATTGCAGTTGTAAAGCTAAAGAATCGATATAAATTTGACACTCACGCTTCTGCTTTTTGATAGATGATGCAAAATGGTATGAAATTTATGAAAATTAAAAGTTTACATTGCTCTGCTTGTAACAATTCGTTTCTACAATACTTTTACATTGTCTACTCTAAAACATCTAAAAAAAAAATCAGTTTTTATGTTGTTTTCTATACTATTATTATATTCTACCTATTTGCAGTAAGTACGTGCAAACAAAATCTATATTTTAACATCTTTATTTTAATACATTTGTTTTCTGGTTCTAACTTTGAACACAATGTTTACGCCCTTTTACCCACATAGTATGTGTACTGTACAGTGTTTTGACCATGATCTATTAATCTATTTGTTTATATTGTATTTACGGTGCTACTAGATGTGTATAAGAGACAGGCATTACCGTTTACTTGTAACGATGTATACGAGTTATTTGATATATAAGTACGTATATACATAATTGGTTGTTATTTAATGAATGTCTGCAATAATGTATAGTATGAACTGCAGAGAAAATATATATTTTAATTGAAATAAAATTTACTTGTGCTCTGAGAAATAATTACTAGACTAATCAAAATGAACTTATTCTTGTCATAGTATTTTACAACTGCTCTGCGTCTTATGTGGTTTGTCATGTGCACCAAATATCATTTTCAACGTTCTACTAATTATTTATAACAAGACATTGCTGTTTCAATTGATACTTGTCAAGAGCCGACGTAATGTTTCTTCAGTTTCCAGTAATTTTTCGGATTGTTCCTTTGATCTTTCTCTCGTGACCCTTATAATTGAATGCTGTGAAGTTATTGAAGCCCTTCAAGCATTTATAAACGGCCGTCATCGGGTAGGGCGGATTACGCATGCAGTACACGCGCTGATCAAGCAGGCGAAATAAGTTCGTAGAAAATAACACACGACAAGTTCATTGTTTGAACTTGTAGTAACTTTTACATCAAAATGTCATTTATGTCAGAATCACTGATGACCTTTTACTGCGTTCAAATTACAAAATAATTTTGATACAATGCAAGTATAATGTTAATTTTATAGATTTTAATATTTTATTTGTTTTTAATATAAAATATACAAAGAAGCCATGTAGCTTAACGTAGATCTAACAAATATCTTATAAAAATTTCAAATTTATCTAACCCTACAAAAATCAAAGATCTAAATAAAATAGAAACAAACTAAGAACACCAAGGTCTCTGCTTATAACTGATTAGGCTACACTCAAATATCTATTGATTAGTTGGGGTAGATACCGTACTTAATTCTAAATCATTCGGTTTTAAAATTGGAAAATTCATATCGTTCTTTGCATCTCCCAGCTTTACGGGCTGAATAAAGCATCTTTGTTGTTATATTTCAAATTAATTTTTGTCAATCTGAGTTGAAGAATTATTTTGGAAAAGTAAAAGTAAAATAATTACTTTCCAACTTCGACGTTTCTCCTGTGACACCAACAAGGCTTAGGCCTCATAATGAATGTCGGTTCGTTGTTATTCAGATAGATAAATACTGCGCATGCTCAAATAAAAAATATAAATTTCCAATGTGTCCAGCGCGAGAAAAAAAAGTAAATGATTCAGTTTGAAATATTAACAAGCTTTAAGTTTCAAGCTATTAGTGCACATGTATGTCTGTGGATTGAAAACAACAAATCATGGATGAAGAGCGTGGGATGTTTGATTTCCACCAGGCACAGGCTTATTGAAAATTCAATTCTGATATTTTAACAGACCTAGTGAGTGCTATTTCTTGTCGTGTGGTACTGAGTAGGTTTTTTTAATGCTTATTTTGGAAGCCGTACCCTTCCAACGGTAGAGACATAGGTCAATTTAGCTTTATAGTTCGAATACGCGTCATATTATTATGAAAGACACGCTTCGAGATGTGCATCAGTCGTCTCATGGGCCAGCAGAAAGCAAGCAGACCATAGAGAGATAATACAGACGTATCGTAATGACAGTAATGGTGATGGAGCGTAGCAAGCGCCCACACATTGCTAACTTCCTGCTTTGTCGACCGTTAAGTTTCTCACAAGGAGATCAAAGATTATTAAAGTTGGTGAAATTGACGTTAAAGTAACCTTTTTGAAGCAAGAGGAAACTTTTTTAACTCTGAATATAGAGTAGACCTACATACAAGATACAAGGTATATTTATTGGTCAACTTGCACCTCTTGGTTCAAATGAAATTTGGTTTCTATGGTGCTTCAACATTCATTAATACAAATGAAATCTTAAACTACAACACATAAATCGCGAGACAGACGAACGATGGACTTAAACTACTGTATTTAAAGGTTTAAAACTACAAACATTCAAAAGACAAATGAAAATAGCAAAATTCAACAATATTCATCTTAAACATAATTATTGTCACAAATTTCACAAAACTTTGTATATTGTTTTTGTATTACA